TGGCGGGGCGGGGCTTTCCTGACTACGTAGTCTTCAGGGTCTGTGAGATGCATTGGTTTGCTATGTTGTTACTCCCACCTCACTTCCTGCCCCTGCTTTAGGAGCCACTGTGGCAGTAGTGTGTTGGGTCCACCTGTCGGCATGCCTGAGCCGGGGAAATGTCAATGTCAGTCCATGACAGAGGTAAACACTGCTAGGGGTAAGGGTAGGGTTGGGGTTGCGATGGAAGGAAGAAGCAGATGAATTAGGATGTAGTCTTCCAGTTTTGTAGGCGTGGGCGTAGCTTCTGTCGAGAATGAAAATTGAAACTGAACAAGTAACACAAAAAAGTGCTAGGTGGCAAATAGCGTCTACCAAAGATTGAAGATGATACAGTCTAGTGATGCTCTAACTTTCTATGTGTACCAAGTTTCCTCTGCGATGTTGTTGTTTTTAGGTGCTGCCCAGTCAGTTCCACCTCACAGCCACTCTAAGTACAACGGACCGAAACACAGTCATGCGCCATGGTTATATTCAAGCCCCTGTTGTAGCCATTGTGTCCATCCATCTGAGCGAGGGCCTTCCTCTTTTCCACTGCCCCTCTCCAGGGACTGGTCTCTCCTGACAACGGGTCCAAAGTACACGAGGCATATTTGCTTCCAAGGAGCATTCTGGTTGTACTTCTTCCAAGACAGATGTGCTGGTTCTTTTGGCGGCCCGTGGTTCTTTCGGTGTTCTTTGTGAGCACCGTACTTCAAATGCACTGATTCTCCTTAGATCTTCCTTAGTCAGTGTCCAATTTTCATAAGCATCTGAGGTGGTTGAAAACATCATGGCTTGGGTTGGGTGCACCTGAGTCCTCAAAGTGACATCCTTGCTCTTCAACACTTTAGAGAGGTCTTTTTGCAGCAGATTTACCCCGGGTAATGTGTCATTTGATTTTTTGGCTGCTACTTCCCTGAGCACTGATTGTGGATCCAAGCAAGACAATATCGAGTCATAATCCACACTGAAGGCTGAAGTCCTTGATCTTCAGCAGCAAGTGCTTCCAGTCTTCCGCGATTCAAGCAAGCAAGGTTGTGTCATATGTATATTAGAGGTTGTTACAAGCCTTCTCTAAACCCGATGCCACGTTCTTCTTCACAGAGTCCAGCTTCTCAGATGATTTGCTCAGCACACAGATTAAATAAGTGTGGTGAAAGGCTGTACCCTGCCTGACACACACCCTTCTTAGTTTTCAACCACGCAGTATTTATTTGTTCACACAACCACCTCTTGATCTATGCACAGATTTAGCATGAGCACAATTAAGATAGGAGGAGGTTTAAAGCTGTCGGATTGATCTTCTAAGAT